ATTACCTGCCATCAGACAGTACTATTACATGTTCTTGACGGCTATTTTCCCAGCTTTATACATTATTTGCGGAGAATGAAATTCAAAATTAAGGTCAAAAATGTATATTGTTTTTATTGTCACCTCAACATGACTTCAATGATGTAGTGTACAAAAACGGAGAGAAAATAAGAAGCCGTCCTTTCCTTTTTCATGTTTCTAATGTCTAATGTAAGATGGGTCTAGAAATTTAACGATCAAATTTCTTCGCTTAATGTGTAAATTGTCTGGAAGTACACATTCTCTTATTAATCTAAGTAATCAATTCGACAGATAAGATTATTATGACATGTGCATGGGTAATAGCAAAGTATTATTCAATAACACCCGGCGCATAGGACGGTAATTACATGTAAAAATACAAAAATCTGGAAACAAAGTGATCCCACGGAAGCATTAATCACAACAAAATTACATGAAAATGAATTACTGAACTTCTTTTAAAGAACTGTTTGTACATTTAAACAAATAGTTAAACATTCTAGTCAATTTTCAGACCTGCGAGTTTAATATAGTCAGTATCTTCAATTTACAATATTTAAAATAGTTAATTATAGAAAGCATTCACGCATTCTAGTAAATTCATAAGTTTTCCTTAGATATACGATATGTTCTCAGTTTTGACACGCTTGGAACGCATTCGGACTAGATATTGGAATAGTGGGTCATTATTAAACTGTTCGCATGTGATAGTTCTATTGTCGTCATTGATGATCCAAACATGATCATAATGTGTTTAATATCAAAAGACCATTATTGATGCACTTAATGTAGCCTATATCAAACCCGTCTGTCAACCATCTATTCCATAATCGAATAATATATCCATTCTTCTGTAAATATTTTGTAACCATCCAGTGTCCTAAACTATTGCAAAAGTTGGCGTGAAGCGATGGCAACCAAGAAAGTACCCCATGCCTCTGTTCTGAGCATAATCATTTTGTGGGTATTCCTTACAGCCAATACCTACGAGCAATAGTATAGTATTGGTATAATATGTATATTATTTCCTCTGATTTGAAATCAAAGTCTTTAGATAACGAATATGTTAAAAAAACAAAGAACACATCAAGCTGCTTTTACCAAGAGATTTACTGTTGGATGCAAAATCATTTTTCTATCTTTTTGTTGCTTATTTTGAATTCAAATCTACTTCTTTGTACTCTCCCCTGATGCACACATTTAGACTTTTCTTATCAGCATTGATGACTCTCCAGTGCTTACACCAGATAGTGTCTAACACGGATTGTAATTTCTCCTCACTATCCTCCATTAGGACTATGTCGTTTGCGTACATTAATAACAATAGTTATATGTCTCCAACCGGAATACCAAGGTCAGTGTAGTTGATTTCACGGGCAAGGTCGTTCGGAATATAAAAGACGATGTCGGCTACATATTACAGCCCTGTTTGACGCCCGAAAAACAGTTATTCCAGCCTGCAAGTTTCCTTGTGTGAATTGTATTTAATATGTAGGTACATGATTTATCTTGAATAAAGATAGACTTGGACTAAAAGTTTTTTAGTGAACAGGCTCAATCAAACCGAGCCTGCAACATTTTACAATTTTGCCGTGTTGGGCTTTCTTTAGGGATTCTGTTTTTCTCTATTTCATATTCAGAGATGATGTTTTGCTGACATTTAACATTGTATATAACGTTGTCAAATACCTCGGGGACTATTTGCTGAAATCTAGCAAAATGATGTCGGTCTTTTTACTTATCAATAAGCTCTAACAGGTGTACTTCGTTCGGCCGCCTTTGCAGAATGCATGTTCTACTGAAGTATGACGACAAAGGTCGAAAAGTAGCGATAGATTTTTAGACAAGACATATTAACAGTGATTGTTACAGCACAACTTGTATACGGACCAATGAAAATTTTGACATGTTCTCACCAATTTTCATCATGTAACCTCAATGGGAAAATCTTCCTGTAATATGTAGCCGAACATTTTACTTGAAATGATTGAATTATTGCCCGATAAAGCATTAAATATACAACTACCATGACCATCAAAAGATATAGGAAGGTATTTGAGTGTATATTCAGTAAACGCTGATAATGTTAACTAAGTATATTTTCTGAGATCTCCTCTATTCGTTAAGGAAACAAATTGTTTTGCCTTTAGGAAATTAGTTTACAGGCTTCGCTTAAGCTTCAATTTAGACAGAAATTAATGAATGGAGGAATTGTTGGAAAATAAGATTTCTCGAGCAAAAATCAAGTGGCGATGTGGTTAACTAATTAGGTAATCAGAGGCATTTGCCCACTGAGTTGTAAGAAGATTTTCGTCATCTAATTATGGTGCGAGAGCACTCATATTAGTCTGTGATTAACTTATCTTAGTTTAACCGTACAAGGGCTTTCGTTACATATTGACGCGGCTTAATGTGCGCTATTCTGAAACGCTGAGGACTAAATTACGGATTAATTTCAACCATCAGTCCGATAATGATTAGATAAACGACCCTCTAGTGCAAAACCTTAACAAACTAAAACTACTTGCAAGTGAAATAATGGTGAGGAATATTTAGAGTCAAATATACTTTGATTTGTTTCGAAAGTGTGTGGGTTTAACAGCAACAAACAAGTATATATCTTCTTATATTCGAGAAAGTTTGGTATAATTTTCAGTACTAAAAGCTTAATGACCGGGAGCATCACAAATCTTGTCACCTCTTACTATCTTAATAAATTAAAAGGCAAGTTTTTCATCTGAATTGACTACTTTATTGCCATGTTACATACCCTGAAAACGTATTTTAATCAAATTCAATTGTGCATGTGTTTACGTATTTCGTACATTCCACGGTTTCTTTATGTGGTTAAAGTTTTACATGTAAATATATATAATTACATGTACAAGTATATCTATTATGATGATTATATATATATAATACATTCGCCTTAATAACAATTCAGTGAAAAATGTATACACAATTTGGAATATATTGCAGCGCACTAAATGGGTATGAATGATTATCAATACCATTACAAAATCTTTATCTTTCTGTTTAGACACTATGTCCAGAGTATTCTGTTGAACATTTATATGCTAATTTATAGACATTTCGTTCAGAAATTGCACGTTAGTGTCTTAAGTGTGTCGAAATATTTTACCCGTGTTATGAGTATAGATTAAAATTACCAGGTACATCCGTGACGTCGGATCATGGACTGTCACTATTTAGATATTTGAAATTGTCCGTGGTTTTGTCCAGATCGAAAGATGGACAAGTCTATTTTAGTTATTTAGCCTGGTAAGGATTATACAGTACCATTACATCATATCCATGTTACTAGAAAGATGTATTTCTTTCAAATACAAAGTACAAAATGAATATTTTATTAGAGTTGAAATACCAAAAAAACTATTTTTTCAATGAAATCTAATAGAAAATTCGCTAGTCACCATATCTAGAATTAGTTTCTAAGTAAATACATGTAACATAACATCTATCTATCTCTTTACCTTGGAGTTTTTACATTTAAAAGATTTTAAACACCTAAATTGTTTCCGTTGTTTCAAGTAAATCAGCTTTCGCTACAATTCCCAATTAAGGCAATTGGTTACCTGGAAAATATCAAAGCAATTACTCGTCCGAAACTAAACTGATCTGTGCAAGCTGCATTATAAGGAAATAAGCGTCAAATGTCTTCGCAGATATCTTAAAATGACATGTAGATGTCTATATAGTAACAACAACAGTGAGCATTTGAGTTTTTTCTATATGTAAAAATATGAAATTGTTATATACTGTTCTTTAGATTGCTTACATACAGAAGCTCGTCAAAACCGCATAAACCATATTCTATTGTCGTCTTAGATGTAAAAGAGAAATTTAAATGAAACCTGGCTTATAAGCAGCGGAACTGTATGAATTTAAACGACTTTTCATGTTAAATATTTGTTTGTATTATTTTTGAGTACCCATTTTGGCTTAAATGAAATCAGATTAGCAAACGGTTCCTGGTTAAAAAAACTACTTCGATATGTTTGTTTTGTCTGTCAGTAAGATCTTATTAGATATTCTTTGATTTCACAAGCTCTGTTTTTTTCCTGCTGATCACATAATAAATGCGTTCAACTGACATCATACCGTATTATTTGACATTTACTAGTATCCCGCTATATATTGTTATACACGTGTTTATTTATTCCTCAAAACTTTTGAGAGGGAGACAGATGTTACTTTAGACCTTTCAAATTCAAGATAGTTGAATAATGCCTATTGTTTTGTCGTAAAGGGTACACGCGTTCTTTTACTTCAGGAACAGGGCGGTAGCTTTTATTTAGTACTAACAGTTACATCTTAATTCCTTGATAATTGCCTTATTAACACATATACGAATCGTTTGTATACTTAAATCTTAAAATTCCTCTGATTGAGTCAGTGTAATATGTGACGGAGAGAGAAGCTTGCATTTACCACTTCCGTTCAAAATCAGGCTCAATCAAACCGATTCTGCAACATTTTCATGTTTGCCCTGTTGGATGTTATGTAAGGTTTCTATTCTTTCATTTTATGAACTCGTATGAGTGTGTTAGTATTAAATTGATTATATAATCATATAGTTATTAAATTAATTGTATTTTTATTCGTGAAACACATGTCTCTATGCAATAATATTTTTAACTACCATCACCTTACATTTGAAAGCACTAATATTTCGCTCCCTCCTAACCATGTGGAGTGGAACCGTATTTAAGCACTAATTAAGAGAAGCATAATTTTTATCTGTTTATCTTCACTGGTAGGATGGCACTGTGACCCATCACAATGCCTTTAAACAAAAATAAATTAATAAGGATAAAATTACCAGTTTTCTTGCAATAAACGGTGACACAGTGCATTAACATTTGGTTGAAACACTCTATATATAGTTGGTTTACTCCAAACCAAGTAGGCACCATTTGTCGAGGGAACTATTAATACAAAATTTATAGATGGGAAATAGCTTTATTTGTGAAAGTCACAATTCATAAACTATGAAATAAACAAAATATATAACAATATGAAGCCATTAATTAAAAAAGTTGGCAATTTACATCAATATAGCACTTATTTAATAGAGATGACAAAATAACGTCGTATAATATTGTAACTATATGTAAAGTGTTAAAAATATAAATAAAAAAAATATTCAGTTAGTTTCTGAATGTCAATTGTTCACCAAAGTTGTCTGCTCATGCTTATAAATTCACATATGTACATATCGATTTCCAACACAGATGGACAACTGAGTGTTTAAATAATATCATTTAAATAATACATAATAATCTAAAAAAAATCGTGAACGGTTGGGATAAAGCTATGATAGGTTTTCTGCAAGAAGCAGAATGGTTATTTGGTAAGATAAGATAAGAACAATAGCATTTTATAGCACTTGATTTGAAAAAAAAATGTGATGATTGATCATCTCTAATTTCCACTTAGACAAACAATGAAATAATTTGTTCAGTCTTAACTTAAAACTTCGAACAATACGCTACAGAAACCATTTGAATGCACCATGCGATTTTTTCAAATGATTATACAATGTAATATTCTTCAGCAGTTATTGCTTTATAAAGTGGTTTCTGCATGTGTCAGGTTTAATGCCGCTATTGCACATTTGAGCCGTGTCATGACAAAACCAACATAATGCATCCGCGCAGTCTGATCAGGATCCATGCTGTTCGCTATCAGTTTCTCTACTTGTAATAGGGTTTGTAAGCGAACAGCATGGATCCTGATCAGACTGCGCGGATGCGCAGGCTGGTCTGGATCCATGCTGGTCGCAAATCCATTATGTTGGTTTTGTCGTGACACGGCTCATTTGTTAAAAAAATGATATGTGTACACATACACTATTTCTTATTCATCTTCATATCCTAATTTTTATAAGTTTGAACTGTGATCTTTTATTTGAATCTGGCATGAAATAAATACCAAGTGAGAAAAATGTCAACTGTAGACATGTTCAAACAAACATGTGAAGCATTATTCAAAATTAATTTTTGTTAGTATTAATGTAACAATTATTTCTTTCATCGTGACAGTTTAATGTAAAGTATATTATAAAAAAAAAATCTTATTTTTTTTATTTATCGGAAAAAGTGATTTGTATATAAAGTTATAATTATTTTTTTATCTATTATCATGATTTTGAAAGATCATAACTTCTAGCCATTATTATTCATTTCCAAAAAAAAAAGAAGAAGTAAAACAACTAGAAAACATTGATGCATGATTAATAAAATCATGTCTCTAATTCCAGTGTCAGTCAGATATCTGAGAGCTTAATTCTGTCCAAAAAGTATTTAAGTGAAATATTAAACATTTCAGAGATTTTATATTCATCAATCAACATCTGTTGCTTCATAAAATGTTAAAATAAAACTATGTAACGTTTACATTGTATCAAGGTTTAAAAGAAAATAAATAAGAAATGAGAAAATAAGAACATCTTGCAAAAATCTTTTAAGATCTGGTGAGATTCGATCGAGTAAGAAAAAATAAAATGTTTAAAGGCCTTGCATTGGTATTATACATATCAACTAAATCTTTCTTAACATGTCATTAGAGGTGCCAATATTCCTTATTTGTTTTGTTTTGATACATTTGTATGTGTATATAATACAAACCAAATTTAATTTAGACCACTCTAAAAACCAAGAAAAATCATATTGAATTCATTCTAATGTACAAAACATGTAATCAGTTTAATAGTTTTTTTATGTATTTTATGTAAACACTGTCAAAATTTAAAAGTTATTCATGTAAACACTGTCAAAATTTAATAGTTATTCATGTATTTACACCATGTAAACTTTCTGAACATGAATGTTTCGCGACATTGTCTTTTCTTTTGAATAACACTATCGGTGGTTTTTACGAGGTTATCAATTCATTAAAATCAAAACAGGCGAAAATACATTTAGTGTACAAAAGCACAGTTTTAAGACATGTTTGAAAAAGTTCAGCACTGCTTATCAAAGTACAGATGTCTCCTCGAGTTTCCAGAAAGTAAGATATAATTATGATCAACTTTCTGCATCATTCATAACAAAGAATAGAACTTTATGGTATTTTTTCAAAACCATATTTGAAGTTAAGCAGAAAGATGTCTGTTCCCGGAAGTAATTTTGTAATTTCTTGTTGACAAGGAGCCCTGTGAGTCCAAAAATTCAATAACTGGTTTACAAAAGAGTTTTCAGGGCCTCTGAATTCCACTCTCGGTCGGGGTTGTTGACAGGGCCTCGGAATGTTCACGTGCGCGCCTTCGTAGCTCGGCAACGCTGCTCGTGCGTGTCTCGTGTCCAGCCATCATAGACGTACATGGGCCTCGTGTTCCACAGCATCCACATAATGGCATGTAGCCTGCAATATGCAAAAAAGGGGTGTGTGAAAACCACTTTTACATCCAAATAACAATAAAAAATTGATTAGAGTTTATCAAATAATACTAAAATTGATTTGGTTATTTCTGTAATAACTGCAGAGAATATCCCATCAAAGCTTTAATCCATTGTTGTTGTTTTTGTTACTTTTACACTTACAGCTTTTAGAGCAGTATTTTTTCTCCGGCATTACGGGCAAAAATAATATGTTAGTTTACCCTGATTTGAGATAATTGCCCGGCGCATACGGGAAGATGATGCTTTTAGTTTTTAACGTTATTCAAATATAAATGTTTCATGTCAGTAAAGTTCAAATGTAATAGGTTTTCTGGCATTCGCGGCACCTTTCATGATACACTTTGGGAATGTTCCTGCTTGAAATGACATTTGTAATCCATTGTAAAAATGCACGTGATATATATTTAACATCACAACATTTAGCAGAAGATGTATATTACAACAGAAAATGACGTGAGATAATTTTTAAGAAATCCCAAAAATCTAACATTATCACCAAACCTGCATTCTTAAAACAATTGACCGCATTTTAAAACAAACTTTTTTGTCCATTTGTAGTGTTACAAAATCATCTATATGTTGTACATGTAAAGTTCTTTCTTTCGATAAATGTATTATCTTTATAAGAATAAATATTAAAAGTACAATGCTTAACCAAGTGAAAAAATGTCATACCAAAACATGTATATATGGTAAAAAAAATGCTCTATAGTTTAGAGAGCCAAAGTGAAAACACATATTCAGCTTAGCCAGCTTGTTTGAACCATTGTTTAGTCCGTTTCTGGAACTAAAAAGTAGTAATGACATATGAGGAAACATGGTCCTAACCCCAGCGGGACTTAAATTCACTGTTTTGGAAAATAGTCACCTTTACCACTGGGTAACATCTTCTCTTAAAATGCTGTATGTTAACAGTAAAGATTGAGCAAAACCTACAAAAACAAGAACTTATACAGAAAATTAATTACCTTTAAAGGCTGGATGTGCCGAGAAATGTGCGGGAAACAGAGGTCTGGGGGAGAAGTAGTTGTCCAGGTATTGTTTGTAGTTGCTGTAAAATAAATACAAAAATTAAAAGAATTTTATAATAAAATGATGAAGCTATTTTGCTGTATGTGCATTTACTACAAGAAGTTACCAAGCCCGGCATAGGCTTTTTACAGCTAATTTTGGATGGGTTATTGTTCAGGTGTCTATTGTATATAGAAAATAAATTTTTTTTTAAACAAAAAAGCAAGGTACTTGATATTAAAGTTAAATAATATATCAATGTATATATGAATGAAAGCGGCTAAAGTTGCATATCCGAATTTCAAAATTCAAAATAAATGAAAATTGATAGGAAAGTACTGGTGTGAAATGTGTCAAAATCATACAGAAATATATGAGAGAACTGCCAAATCCTTAGTAAATATATTCGAAAATACTAAACACTAATACACTTATTAATAAAAAATGAAATAAATATACTTCACCATACCTTTCTAGCATTGGGAAGAACGCTGGTCTATTCATGGCGTTGTTACTGAGTGCCATTAGCGTCTGTGTAAATGAATGTTGTAACATCGGTTTAGAATTCATCATCATGTTGGCACGCGCTGTATTCACGAGGGCAAGAGACGCTAGTGGTGACACTGGCGAACCAGTAGACCTGACTGGAGACGAGTTACTGTCGTCTTCCGGTGATTTTGATTGTGGTGTATCATTGGATTCTATCATTTGATCATTATTATTAGAAACAATGCTATGAATTGAGTGAGCCGGTGGTGGATTGATCAAATCAATGTCTGATTTGGAAGATGGCGCTGATGATAAATCTTCAACGACATGGTCAGAAATATCTTCAGTTGCTGTAGCAACCTTCTTTTCTGGTGTATGTTGTGTTACTATAACGCTATCCATGTGATGATTATCATTTTCACTACTATTTTCCTCATTGTTATTTTTTTCTAAATCGTGAAAATCGTCTTGTTGGGGCAAAAGTCTTTCTCCTTCAAAACGATGTTCGTCATTTTCTTCTGGTTCCAGGCATGTGTCAGATACATCCCCACAAACATCCGGGTCTTCAGCCTCGTTATCAGATTTTACATCTTCAGCATTGTCATTTCCGTCTTTTGAAGACGGTGGCCTCTGTGTGAATCGTTCACTTTTTCTCCATTTAGCTCTTCTATTTTGGAACCAAACCTTTAGAAAGAAATACAGACAAAATTATAATATAATGACAACCATTTTATGGCTATTCCGAGAATCATTGGAAAATGTGTAATTCGATAAATTTGCAATAATGTCTTCTAATTAAATCATTGTCATGACAAAGTACAAGTGAAAGGTTATGTGACATAATTTCATTTTTACGAATGTCAGAATACACTGGTATTTTACATAAAATGTCTTAATAGTTTTGACTAATGACGCTCCACTGCTACAAATCTTATATGTCACAATAAAGCTATTGGGAAATGATCTTATCTCATTTCCCCGCATTTATATTTCATTTACTGCAATTCTTAATCTAATAGAGGAAATGTTTATTATGTTATGCAAACTGAATTAAGCGACGCGAGTAAAGGCACCTGAGTCGGTCGCTAGTATACTCGCGGGACAGCTTGCGGATTTTCTCATTTTCCTCTCCGCTTTTGTTCGTGCCCGCGCATCTTACATCGGCGGTCCCTTGATAAAAATGATCTTATACTTTAATGGCAAATGATAGAGGAAATGAATCTTGTGGTATTGTATTTTAAGAGAGTATGCAAATACATCATTGTGCTGCAGATCAAGTTATATTCGAATAGATTGAATTTAGACCGATCACATTGCCCTGCTAGGAGGACGAGGATATATACTTTATAATATAAGGACCTTTAGATAACCGACCAAATGCATGTAGACTTAACAAAATGATACATAACCGAATTAAAATAGCTATTTTGTCAGTAAAAACAATACAATTGCTTTAATGTAGACAAATAAATTATATAGAATACCTCTATGTGTCATTAAATTTCAGACACTGAATTATGTCTCAAATCAAATATTAATACTTCTGATTTATGATGAGAATAAATGCATTTTTTATCTTCAATTTTAAATACTAAAACTCTTTTTTTTAAAGGTTTAACATCTTTATTTGAAAATACATTTTAATAGTTTGAATATTACCATATTAACAATTTCCGTATTGACTGCAGTTTAAATAACGCTGAAACTGTTGACTTTGAATGGTTAAGAATGGTCCCAGATGACCGTCCCGGCGTTATACCAGAAACAAACGCAAGGATGGGATTCGAGCCGAGCAGACGTTTCTATATACGATTATATGTTGCTTTTTCATTTGTTAAAGATTTTTAAACTGAAAATGTCTTTTTAACTTTATTAAAACTGTTACATCATTTACAAGTAATTTTTTGTCAAGCCTCATACTTTATGCGTACGTAAAAAAGTTTTGGATGCAGTTTAAACTTTAGTTAAGATGTTTTACTGTTGTTTTTTTTCATTTTTAAACTTTGTGTATGGTTCAAACTAGTGGCGCAAGTTTTGGTAAATTACGAGACGTGTGGCCAAAAATAGAACTTAGCTGTTCTTAAGTTCAGAAGTGCAGCTTTAATTTCCATCAGTATAGAACTTCCTATTCTTACTAAGCTCTGATCCATTTAGCGGGTGTATTATTGCTTTAGGAATTAGCTAAATCCATTAATTAACTATTTACTTCTAATTTAATAACATAAAGTAAAGATGGGGTAAATAATAGAAACGGGAATTCCCAGGACGCCTGGTAATTATGCGTCGCCTTCCATGGCAAATTAGAAAAGTCAGTCGGCGTTATGTTGACGATAACAGGTCGGTAACCTAGACTACTGCACGATTTTCTCGTGCAAAAGGTTTCCTGCTTTTAAAGGAACAAAGGAACTGAAGTGAAAGAAAACACTGACTCAAATTCTATAATAAATTTGATTATCGTTGACTTTGCAACAATATGTCGCCCTAATTTTTTTCTTAATGAAAATGAGATATAAAAGAAATCTTTTTGCTTATTAGAAACAAAAGTACAAAATGTTTCTTTCATAACCTTTTGCGTAATAATTTTTGACATTTTATCGCAAATTCGGATACCAATGTAATTTGTCTTCAAATAGTCGATAAAACTATATACATGTGCATTTTTTCAATGATTTATTAACGTGTTTATGTATATGTACATGTATATATGTATGTTTTTCATATTGTTTCGATGTTCAATTGCGAAAGGCATAAATATGTCTAAATTGATATTAAAAGTTGTTATGTGCAAATTAAATGCTATTTGCATCATATGCAGTCTTACGTAATGGTTTTTCAACACAAATCTGTCAATTCTTTTATATTAATCTATATGTATAAATGAAAATATATCATCATACAAAACTATTAGCAGCCGTATATAAATCAATACTATATCATAATGCCCGAAGCATTCCGCTTGCATGCCAGTTCTATGACGCTGCCAATTTTAATTACAGTTTTCTTATTTGAACGATGACATTGGACTACGGCAGACCGTTATAGGGACGAGTTCATACCTAATTTGATTTATATTAGCAAAATTGGATAAAGTTGATTAGTTGTCCTTCGCTGTCACATCTGGTAACAGTCTTGTTAAGGATCCGCGGCGCGATCTATACCGCTTTAACCAGCAGACGGACTCGGAAATTGTTCAAGTGTTGCAGTAAAACGCGCAAATTCGCAAAATTACGAAACGCGGTGAAAATTCAATTTTCGGGCATTTTAACGCCTTTTGTATTATCAACTTAACTGGTCTGTAAGACCGTTCAATGTGTCCCAGTTTTCACGTATTTTTTTATTTTGCGTCTGTCTAAATATAAACATAAACTGCAGTAAAACTATAATATTTTACTGGTAATATGTACCTTAATTAAAACTTTTACATTACAATTTAAATCGAGGCTATACCATCCAATGATTTTTCTGGACGTTTTATAAAAATAAAAAGTCCAGCAATTCTGCATGATCAATATATTTATATATGGGCAAACAAGAAGACATTGCAATACCTCTTGACCTTAAATATATTATATATATTACTTCTTTTCAAAAAAGAAGTATTGTAAACGCTAAAACGTTATAATTTTCTGCACCATTCCTAAAAGATATTTTTGATTAAGTGTTTACCCTTACCTGTACTCTAGCCTCTGTAAGATTGATCCGCATGGCAAGATCTTCTCTCGTGAACACATCTGGGTAATGAGTCTGTGCAAACGCCTTCTCTAGCTCTTCAAGCTAAGTTATAATTAGATAAACATTTTTATAGAAATATCAAAAATAAATCAACGTATGATAGGTATCTTTTGAAAATGAGGACAAAATTCTTTTTAAATAAATAAAAACATTGTATCGTATCAATTGTAAATGTGTATATTATATTTAAAAAAAAGCTATGACAGGTTGTTTTGTTGTTTTAATGTTTTCATTGTAAACAAAGCGCAATGGCGTTTCCATACATACCTGTTGTAGAGTGAAGGTTGTTCTGTTCCTTCTTTGCTTGCGTCTAGCAAAAGCATCGTCATGTAGATCACTATGAAGGCCATACCCAGCGACTGAAAAACATAACAAGAAAGGTTCTAGAAATGAATTTAATTAGAATAGACAATTTTGTTCCTCTTAAACAAAAATGTAGGGATAAGACAGTCATTTTACAATCGGGAGATCATGCTGATGGTGAAAAGCGTCCACGTCTCAAACCATGGATCATAGGTGCAATGCGCTTGCTTATATAATACAATACTTACAATGAACAAATCTTATAATTGTGCATGTTTTAAAGATCACATATGCATGTCCGTGTTAGTTCGGTCATGCTGAAAATTTCAATATATACAGTTGAGAGACATGAAATGATATTTCATCGATTTAATTTCATAAGAAACACAAATTTAATACATACACTAATTATTCTAATACCGCACATGCATTTAAAGTCAATGTCGCAAAACAATTACCGATATATCAATTACATGCCTAAAATAATTACATGTATATGATCATTATTCTAATACCGTTTGCCCCACCCTTACCAATGGTACAAACGAGCAATGTAAAGTAAATTTGTAAATAAATTAGGGGTAGATTTATCCACTCTTGGATATATTCACGTATTCCTAGGCAATGGTCTGTGACACTACACAAAACCTCCACACTCCGTATAACTTCTATCACTATTAATTTTTAAAAAAACTTTGGTTGTATTATTCCACATTGTTGAGAATGAATGCTGGAGGCATCCATTGTTGCTTATCAAATTGAAGCTAATTGAAGCATAAATCGAATATTAGATTATTGAATGTTCAAGAAACTTTTGTTTTGATACTACTTTTAATATATATCATTTATTTTAAATCAAGTTTGATAACATAACATAAATTGTTCCCTTTATATAAATGTATCCCTGAAGCGCCAAGAAAATGTACACTTCTCCGGCATATAATCTTTCAAAACATCAAAAAGAATGAAGTGTAAAACAATTTATATTATGAATATATATTCAATATAATTATATAATAAATTCTTGATATAAATAATGATATATAAATGATTGTAATTTATAAACATTCATTGTGCATTTTTTCGAGTTAAACAAATCTTCCACCGCTGCATGAGACATCTTGCATACTTCTTTTTAAAGAAGCAAACTTATATGTTTCAGTTTAAACCCAATTCCCTGCGGGCACGCATTTTAAATCAAAAACTCTTTCGAATATTTTACTTTGGTCGAATACGTTAGGTTTTTCGCACTATGACTACGACACCTGATCGAAAGTAAGTTGTAACACTACGACAAATGATCGAAAATAAATTTTAATCCTACAACACTTGAAATCGCCGCCACAACACATATTCTGAGGCGGGCTTGATAAGATGGCTATAATGGTAAGTAAATATGAATAATGATCAGCTTGGTCAAAACTACCGTTAACTATGAAACATATGGAAAAAAAATCATACATACGTTGTACTACAGATACCATCATTTTCACGGGGGAGGAAGTGTTACACGAAGGATGGAGTTCTTATGATAACTTGTTCAGGAGTTCTTGTGATAACTGTCACGGAGTTCGTCGGAAAACATCTGTATATACTACAAAAACACTCGTAGAAAAATGGTTATTTACATCGTTCAAAAATAAGTTTAGGTGCTAAATTAAACTTTAATGATTAAGCTTGTCTTACATCTTGCATTATATGTAAAAAACTAATTCACAGGCCATTTTTAATCAACTCTTGCTTCAAATCTGGTAGTTTTGAGTAAAATTTCCAAATTACTTGCCAATTCACAAGTATTGACCGGTTTATTTCTGGTCTTCATCCTTGCTATACATAATTACCTAATTATAATGCAAAATTGCAAACATAAAGCACCAGCTAACAGATTTATACCCGGTTTTTCAAATGTCCCGGAGTTCTTGTGATAACTCTGAAGATGTCACAGAGTTCTTATGATAACTTTTGTTATTGTCAGTGTGTTTCTGCGCTAAATAACGGCACGTTTTGACGTTTATTATCATTCAATAAGATTTTAATCATTATGAAATGCAGTACGCTCATCCTTTGCACAAAAATGTGGACAAAACGTTGGTTTTAAGTGTCTGCAAAGGATAATTAGGTCATCTACAGTAAACATTGAACCAGCGGCCACTGATATTCAGCAGTATAATGGCTTGTTTTCTGGTCCTTCGGGATCATTGATGCAAACACTATAAAGTGTCGCTCAAGCCAGTGCTAGGGGGCCGTGAGGGATGTTGCACTAATACAGTATCCCTCATGTACAGACTCAATCAAACCGAGTCTGCAATTCTTATGTTATTTTGTTGTGATTAATGCTTCCGAGGGATCACTTTGTTTCCAGAATTTTACACCACAAAACAAAAATGTCTCAAAACGTACACGCTGTTCTCAGTTCCTCATGTTTTAAGCAACCACCTTTCTTAAGCAGACAATATATAGGAATGCTTCCCTTACCTAAGGGCTAAGTAATTTGTATCATTTTATACCATAATAAATAAGTATATAACCAGGATAATTTCCACACCTATGTCTTTTAAAAAGTACGATACATGATAAAAACTCAACTGCGGCGGGTTCTAACTACCGATCTCTCGAACAAATTTGAACTGTCCCTCCAGGTTCCAGATTTACCTAGAATGGGATTTCAGTTATTGTGCATGGGCATAAAAAAACAAGAATTCCCCAGGTGTTGCTTGTAAGTGTCGCAAGTTTTCTAATGTAACTTAAAACAACAGACAAAACTTTGAAACATATTAATCGCAGTACTATTATAACTGCTGTTTTACATAGAAAACAAATGTTTCTCTGATTGATGCCGTAATATAGATGCTTAACTGAGAAAAAATAGATTGTAAGTCCGGATGAAAATGATAAAGGGCCAGAAAACTGCTAGGGTCCGGAAACTGCTAGGAAACCAGTACATAAATCCTTTTTCCAGTCTACGAAATCTGCGTCAAACAAAAAAAATACCATGAAAAAGATACAGGGGTAAGAAATAATATCTCTTGAACTAAAATTCACTCAAAACCAACATTATATATCCTATTTTTTGCGCAAAGGATGAACGGTCTACATTTCATAATGATTTACAATCTCATTGAATAACAAAAAACGCTAAAACGTGCCGTGATTTAGCGCAAGAAACACACTGACAATAACAAAAGTTATCATAAGAACTCTGTGACATCTTAAGAGTTATCACAAGAACTCCGGAACATTTGAAAAATCGGGTATAAATCTGTTAGCCGGTGCTTTATGTTTGCAATTTTGCATTATAATTAGGTAATTATGTATAGCAAGGATGAAGACCAGAAATAAACAGGTCAATACTTGTGAATTGGCAAGTAATTTGAAAATTTTACTGAAAACTACCAGATTTGAAGCAAGAGGCGATTAAAAATGGCCTGTGAATTAGTTTTTGACACATAATACAAGATGTAAGACAAGCTTAATTATTGAAGTTTAATTTAGCACCTAAAACTCCTTTTGGAAAGATGAAAATAACCATTTTTAACGAGTGTTTTTGTAGTATATACAGATGTTTTCTGACGAACTCCGTGACAGTTATCACAAGAACTCCTGAACAAGTTATCATAAGAACTCCATCCTTCGTGTAACACTTCCTCCCCCGTGATTTTGCGACATTAAGGTTTTACGCTCCGTTACACTAGTTTAGCATATGCATTAAATTTTTATTTATGTTTATATTAAAATGGAATGAATTAAATATCATTCATTTTTCCCAACTGTATTTATTGACAATTTGAGCATAATATGGTGATATTGACCCACGTATAAGGTGTTTATACATGAATACTTACAAGGTTTGTTAAGTGTAAATGTCAAATATTTCAAATAGAAACGAAAACAAAAATATGTGTAAAAAGCTATAATACGATTAAAATAAAATAGTAAAACATCCATAAAAAACAGCAAGAAAAAACAAACAAATAAAAACAAAACAATATCTGCTCTCGATATAAAGTCACGTTGACACTAGTTACATACTGCGCTTGTAGCCATTACAGAATAATTAATATTTTTAAAGTCTGTACTTTTATTTTTACTTCATCGCTTATTTTTGCTAAGTTAAACGTTAATCCTTATTCTGTAGCTAATTAATCTACAGGCGAATTTACCTTATAGATAATTTCATTCTTTATCAGACTTTTCATGTATGTAAATTACTTTCATTTTTTATGAAAAGACAGGCGTAATTAAGCGTAAAGTCTTGTTTATTTATGAAACCCAGACAGAGAAAACCGTCGCTAACAACGTCTAGAGTCTTGAAGCATCTTCTGAGTGTGCATGTCTGCGAACACTAAATTGTGGTTTCTGATTTTTAATGGCGATTAATGACAACAAAACAAGACAATAACGTCCCTAATATTACCCCATAATTCCATTAAACATCGCATTAGTTCCAATAGCTTAGTTCAATTGTCCACACCATTAGCCGCTCAAATGAAATTTGTTTTTGATGACAAAATATCGTGCATGTCCAGTGATCGTGAAATCTCGCAAATGAATAAAGAGGCGATAACTTCCGGCGGATCTCTACTAGAACAATAAATTTCCAATTAAGGTTCGTGATTAGAAAACAAAGGAAGGAAATAAATTTATTACGCAGAGATACGTAAGCATTATCGCCCGTCTAATGTGTCTCCGTGGGTAGCAACGATCAACAATTTCCGGAATTAATGGATTAAACAAACCAATCAGATCCAATCAAGACATTTACTTCGGGTCAACTTCCGGTCTGCGCTTTCAGCAGACGAAGATAGAAAAAAGAAATTACTGACCATAATATACGGAATAAAATAAATTGAAATGAATCTTGGGTACTCGTTTTGGTAAAGATAAGAAAAACACTTAAAAGCTTGTAAGTAACTAGTCTTTCCGGTTAAGATGTGCGTGTCTAAATGCAAACATCTAAGTTACTAAAAGGGTTCCATTGTCTGCTAGTTTTTTTAAACAGTACTTCTTGATGAATATGTTATTAAAGAAGACAAAGGTATTGTAAATCATGACAAAG